TGCTTTTGATAAAGCTATATTTTCAATGATCTAAATAATAAATAATATTAACTGAACTTAATTAGATATCAAACAGCATTTTGTTCCGTTTTTTATCAAAAAGTCATTATTAGAATTTAATGGAAAATAAATTTGAACAATTAAAGAATAATACAATTGACCTAAAAAACAATACACCAATCCAAAATTGTGTAACTTTTTCGATTAACGTTTTCAAGTAATATGTTCCAAATAAATGCGATTCAAGTTAAGTGACTTCACGTCGTCATCATCCGTCTGCGGTAACACAAAGACAGCCGACAATTCTGTAGGGTTCGGGTATCCAGGAGCTGAAAAAGTGGCTATGCTAAATAATAGGCCGCCTTCGACTGGTCTCGCATAGTTCATTCATGATTCCGGATTCAGTATTCCTTTTCGAGGAAGACAGACGACGCCGTGTTGCAATATATGCGGCTACGAGCTTGATAATAATATTCCCTTGCGAGAAAATAAACGATTATATTTACTTGATCGTTGTGTATTTTCTATATAAAGAGGAGGGTAATTTTATGACCCAAATAAGCTCATTTCAATTGCGGCTTTTTTTTTTTACAAAAATAATCATCAACAATATTTTTATTATTCGGATAAATTCAAAGGAAAATGAAGATCCTGAACCGGATGTTCACGTGTACCTGACATTGCCGCGGTTTCATGGAAATCATCGGCATGGCCCACGAATTTGCGTAGGCCCTAAAATTATTATGAGAAAAGGGTCTTGAGAGATAAAGAAAGAGAGAGAGAGAGAGAAGGTGAGAGGAAGTTTAAATGGCATAAGAAAGATAGAAATGGATAATTTTTTTGTGGCTTATGTTTCAAGTCCTTTCCCTCTTTTTTGGGAAGACCGTCAGAGGGTAAAGAGAAAACCTTAATGGGTTTGAGTTGTCTGAATGGCACCATTACTCCTGGCGTATCTTTAACAGTGGGCTGTACAATACATCAGTACCAAGGAAGAGGGTGGAAAAGATGACAACGTTGAACACATTTACCAGGTAGCTTAAACGATACAACACATTTTCAACGCCTAAGGATCAACTATTAAGTAGACACCGATCATGTTGTGTTGATAAAACTGATGATGTCGTCTCATTTTCGCCAATGTAAACATAAAATAGAGACTCTTGAATTTATCGTTATAACCTAGAATTTTTTTTTTTTTACGTATTTCGGATATTTAACTGGGTGAATAAAAAAATTACAGGTTGAAGAGAGGGAAATAAAAAGAAGAGGGAAGAGAAATCAATACAGAGTAGTAGTATACTATGTCGTTTAAACGACACTGGCGTTAACGTTTTTCCTAGCCTATACCCATCAAACGTGTTTCAGATGCCAGTCCAGAGTTCCCCGAAGTCAACACCGCTGATGGTATAGGGTTAAAGAAAAACGGGATGGAGTCATAACGAGTATCGGTACTTGAATTAAAAAATTTGACGGGAATTACGATAATGGATAGTCTAGTTTGCATATTAAATAGTTAAATTAAAAAATATTTTATTTTAATTCCAGTTTTAGCATATCGAGTTCCAGTAAAAGCTTCAAATTTTTTTTATTAAATACTTTGATAATTATTCCTTAAAAAAATATATTTGCAATTAATTGTTATAAGCCTGTGATGATAAAATAATTTTATAACTCATTCAACTTTGATTTATAAATGTAATTAAATTTTTCATTGAAGTAATTACGCAATTGTATGAATAATCAGGAAAGGGAAATTTTCGGAAATGATTTTCTCAGATGGAGTTTAAAGGATTTAAAACAAATTGTAAAAGATTGTGTGTAATATATACTTATTATGCTAATAAATACGTAGGTACAGAGAAAGCCTTTTGTACATTTATCGACGTTCTCACACGTTTCTTTTCCCTTCTTCGGTCAGTTTCTATATACATAATTCGTCTGCATTCTTTTACTGGCACACTCGGCTCCAGAAGTCTGCATAGATAATGAATTCTGAAAAAACTAACTGCACTAACGGTTCACCTAAGAGCCAAACTGAGAAACTTTTATTTCTGTAGCTAATGATGTCTAAACTCTTTTCATCATTCTCTCTCTCTCTGCCATCTGCCACCAAAGCCATTTCCTGTTCATAAATAATTCCAACTACAATTATATTAATATTATAGACCCCTGCCAAACTGTGCACCACTTGCAGCTATTTTTGTGATTTATTCGTCTACTTTAAATGACTGGGATTACATATTTTCCTCATAAAAATGGATTTGTTAATTGATGGTTTATTTTTAAACCCATTATTGATTTAATTCGATAAAAATAGATAATGATTAAGTGACTATTGAATTTATAAATAATTTGTTCTTTTTTAATAATTAATGATAATGCTTAGTACAATGAATAATTAAGTACGAAGTTTCAAAGCAATTTCAATTTAATCTGTTTTTTGTATTTTATTATCTAACTATTTAATCAGTGATATTTGTAAACAAATAATTTGATATGGAAATTAAAAACAAAGTGATAGTGAGATAAGAGTAATTATTGCTGCTGATTAAAATATAAATACATTAAAAAAAAAATAATTTATATGATATTATTTGTTGTTTATTAAAGTTAATTAGTGTTTAAAAAAAATATACACATTATAGTTTTATTGATGTAAAATTTTTTTTTTAAATAAATCCCAATTTTTTTTATAATCAATTTCATACTGAACAAAATGTTCAGTAATGTGTAGTTACCACACACTCATTTGTTTAATGACTACAACCATAATTTTAGTTATGATAACAATTTTTATTATTACCATAATAGAATATTATGATTGTAGCAGTTTGATATTTTTTACCATGTTCAGTAATTTGTTTAAAATTATATCGGCAGTTACTTACAAAAGTAACAAGTTTAAATTCAAAGAAAATGTAGTGAGAGAAATAATTATAATTTAGATATTATTTTTATTACTTCAAGTATTCCAGGCTTTTTATCAGTTCTCATGCACGATTGATGGTAAAAAGAAGATAAATAAAAACCATTAACATATTTAAATTAAATTGCGAATGAGAATAACAATAAAAGCAAAAGACTAATTCCAGGTGTTAACGGACAACACTTCCTCTAATTTTCAAGATCGATACGTCGTGAATGCAAAGTACTTTGGCATGATTCGTGAAGCCATCGACCGCCTGAAAGCGAGCCCTAGCAGGTAGTCAGATAAGATGTGATGGTGAAGAAGGTGAATGAGAGAAAAAGACAAGTGAGTGAAAAGAGAAGATGTAAAGAAAGACGAAAACTGGGCGCGAGGACGAGATGTGAAGACGTGAGGAAGAGTAAAGGCTTGAGGCGAGGTCACCAACCACCCCCGTCTTCTCCTTCCCCTTAGCCTATACTCTGATTAACCGCCGCCGAGGGCGGGACACGCTGTAATGAGCATCCAAGAGGTGCTCAACTTGGACACGTCAAAGCTACAGGTTTATTTACCTCCATTGTGCACGCGACTGTTCCACTACTTTAAAATCAACCCCCAACAATCATCATTTACTAGGAAGAGGTGAAAATAATTCACAGTTTATTTGAGTAATGATACAAGATTTTTTAGGGGTTGAATGTGAGGAAGAAAAGACAACAAGCCGGATAGTCTTAGACGATTGAAGGATAGAGGGAATATATAAGTAGACTGTTGGTTGTCGACCAAGACACCCACCGGATGATCGAACGATGTTATTTTAAGTTTTCCATAGGGGGTTAGTGCTTTCGTCTTGCCCTAATCGGCTGTCAGCCCTCTGGCTTATATATTCCTTGGTGGTAGATAGTCGAGGACAGCCCTATGTTCTCTTTCACTTGATATGCCAACATTCTAGCATCTATATGTTGACCCCCTACAGACACCAACCACCCCCTTTACAAGAATTCATACCCCTTGGGAGGGTTGATTCAAAACGTTTTACACTCTTATAACTCGAAACCTGTTGATTCTTCCCCCAGTAATAATAATAATCTCACCAACCAGAAGTTTGAATTTTTATGATGACTTTTTGCCTTTTTTATCTTTTGATCGCTTGGTGATGGATGATTTTATTTGCAATTATCCAGTGAATATTTTCGCTTTATTAGAAAGAGAATCTTGGAATGAAATCTTTTACTACATCTAAAAAGGTAGTTACTGAATATTGCGAATATTAGCTGCGGTCACCTTCTACCGATCCCCACTTTTATAATCATGAAAAACAATAAAACACCTTAGTCGCTGAATTTTACGACTTAGTAAGAGTAGAGGACAAGAATGAGAGAAAAGAAGACACCGGATGTTGTATGGATTTTTTCAACCCCACAGGTATAGCTCTCTGCAGCTTTTTAGCACACTATTTTTTTCTTTCAAACTCAATGAAGATGAATTACTTTTGTTTGAGATCAAAATTTGTGGGAAGAAGTGACATATCCTGCACCCCCTCCTTGGAAATGGACACGTTTTACAATAGCAAAAAAAAAAAAATTGAAAAAGTTATAAAATTCGACATGGAAAGACGAAAAATTTCATCTCCGACAGCGTATTATATTCGCATTGTAATTTATCATATTCACGCAAATTTTTTGCTCGTTGATGACGATACGCCTGGGATAACTTCATAGAATTCGATCGTAAAAAAGAAACCACGAAGGAAATATACGAAGGACACGAATATTATTTCAAATTACTTACAGATAAATACAATATAAGCACCATAAATATTAATTAGAAATAATAAAAGTGTGGGATTAGAAATAAAAAACAAAAGGAAAAATAATTGTCTCAGTTAAACCCACATTTTTTCATTGTTACAAAAATATTTAACAGTAAATAAAAATGTTTCAACTCTTCTCTCAAACCATTAAAATTAAATTAAAAAAAAAAAAATTGCAATTTTTTAAATACTTGAAAGAGAATGATTTTTTTTTTTACTGTTAAATACCACAGATGTTTTCTGTCATCATCAATAAAATAATGCATCAATCGAATTACTCACCATAGGATCTGTCGGCAATAGTATCACATGAATCTGCAACATAAAAGACAACTTGATTATAATTTATAATATATAAATAAATAACATAAATATTTTTTATTTTATTCAACAATGATTTATGAATAATCTATGAAATAAATAATAGTTCTAAGAACAAACTCAATGACAGTAGCTAAAGAGTAAATGATTGGCATAAAGATAACAATGAGTTGTAAGATTTATGAGTTATTTTTACTATTTCTTGTGGTATGCAAAATAATGTAATTTCATAACAATGCTGTGTTGTTAACTCGAGTGCAGTATGTAGCAGGAACAGAAGCACAGGTAAGCCATCAGTTGTCATAAATGCTCGTTGAAATCTCCGACAGTGCACAGCGTGCTAATGGCCTCATTAGATATTACGGCACCTGCAGGAGTCTACGCACGATTAACTTCTCATTCGTTGCATGCACAATTTATTTTATCGGGTGAAATTATCCATTATGCTAATCTATTTTATCTAGAATATTCATCTAAATATTTACTTATTCCATATTTCTTCAGTAATATGCGCTACTTCTAAGATTAGAATCTAAATGTCGTTAATTGAGTAATAAACAAATTTTTTTACATTTTAACATTTAGCGGTTTCACATTGTTATAAAGTCATTTTCGAAGTACCGTATTATTAGAAAAGAACCGTAAGATGTTTTCTTTCTTCAATAAAAACTATTTGTACCATTGATTTCCTATCATTCTGACTATTCAATTAATTTTTATTTACGCTTAAATTGATTGTGGTGGAATCATTTTTTTGTTAACAAATTAATATTCTCAATCAAAAGTTAATAGTGAAATTTAACATTGAATATTTAATCCATCAATTTCGTAACAGCCATTAACATTTTATGCATCAATATGTTTAAATTAAATTATGCATATATATTTATTTTATCATTATTAAATTAATCACAATCGAAAATAATTTTTATTGATCTTTTATTTATAATAATAATCATTATTATTGTTGTTTTAAGATATATTTTTTTATTAATAAAAATAGAATCTTTAGCTTGTATTAAAAGAATTATTTATGAAAGTAATAATTTAACAATTAATTATTCAAAAACTAAACGTTCAATTAAACTCAAAAATTAATCTAATGTATAACACATTCATAAATAATATATTAAAAAATTCTGATATTTATCTTAACATTGAATTAATGATCGAATAAGTTTAAATGATGCTCATAAACTTAGTTGCGAATGAGTGTACACGAAGTCACTTTATCTCTTAATCATATGCGATTTTAATCGTATTCAAATATTTTCCATGTATTGACAGTGGCCATCACGAATCTTAATGCGATGATTCCGGATCAAAAAATGTGAATAGAGGCCAACGATAGACAATAAATATTAAACAACTTTCCATCTTTTAGTTTTGTGTCTTACTTATTCTGTTTACTATAAAAGTTGATCATTTCTCTTCCTGTCAAATAATGAAAAGAAAAAAAAAATTCTAAATTGTCTGATGAATATGGCTGTGTACATTGTTAAACGTTAATCAGTGAAGTAGTTACCAAGTTATGATGTAATAAAGAATATTTGTGCGAGGTACCAGGTACGAGAATTAGTTTTCCGATAATTAATATTCATTATGTGCAATTAAAAATATAGGGAAACTATGGATTAAAATAGTGGAAAAAACCGAGTTAATGTTTGGTAATCGATATAAATATCGTTATAATCATTACTAATTAATGGATAATGCAATAAAAAATTTTTTCTAACTTGAATTAATCAGTTTAATAATCAAATAACAAGTAATATGTTGGCCTTAACTCACGAATGTCACTAAATTAATTAAAAATAGATAAAAATTTTTATTGATTCCTACATTGAAAAATGAGATATTTTTAGAACTTGATCATAAATATTTTTGTTAATTATAATGAACATAAATGGTTTAAAGATAATAAATAAATAAAAAAAAAGAATACATTTTAATAAAACTTATTTTCATAATTTCCATTAAAGTTATTTTATCAATTAACAAAACATTGATAAAATTGCATCAGACGTAAATTCAATTTTTGAAAATATGATTAAATTGCTTACGTAAGCAATGAAATGACCCTCCCTGGGGCGAGTGATATGGTTAATTACTTGATATCAAGATAAAATGATGAAACATTAGTATATTTTTCATCAAAAAGTATTAGTGAATCTATTATCAATATTATTAGAGCACTTTTTTTCGCATGAAATGCAAAAATAAATTAAATATACAAAGTCGAGACTATAATGATTGTAAATTGTTAATTAATTTGCAGTTTTATAAGTCTAAAACTGGAACATGTCTAATTTAGAAGACTTACATTTGATAACTTGAATCGTTTAGGTTTCGATGAGTCGACAAGAGCTGATTATTAAGTAGCCAACGGCAAGAAGTTGACCATGACTCTTTTCCCGATTTAATCTACATACTCATGTGTATAGTTTAAGTCAATGCAATTATTCAAACATTGAAAAAGAACTTGAAAACAAAAAATCATGTTTTATTAACCTCATTTTAATTTAAATAAACTTTTAAAGTGATGCATTACCAGTATAGTTAAGGCCTCAATAAAAACAACATTTGTTAACAATTAATTAATATTTAATTCAAAAGAATAAATAAATATAAATTTATGTCTCTTGGTAATTAATGAACTTTAGCTATTAAAATTTAATTATTTCGCATAAATAAAATAAAAACAATAATGAATATTATTTTTATTTAAATTTAATGTTTGAAATTTTAATTCAATGTTCAAATAGTCATTTTTAGATTTATTATTATTATTAAAAAAATATATACATTATAGAATGTATTGGAATCTAGAATGAATGAATGGATGATTATTGAATAAATCCAAAGTAAGATTTTGGAGTAGCGAAACCTATAAAATCGCGGAAGTGAGTGAATAAGTAAACGTATGAGTCATGTTTTATCATAGGTTGTGTAGGCAATGCACATGAGTATTAATATGTATGCGTGTTCATTTATGGTATGGAAATAGAGATCGAGTATGAGAGTCACTTGGATATATAAAGAGAGAGAGAGGGAGTAAATATAAGAGATAAAAAGAGACAAGTAATAATACTTGAAAAGGTATCCAAGTGAGTACAGAAGTGGCAAGAATAAAAGGAAACGATAAAGAGAGATGGATGGCTAAAGATGAGGCCTCAGTTGTAAAGTCAACGGTTGCCGCCCCAACAAAAAACCTAAATTGGTCGAAATGAGAGTTACGTAGGTAAAGAAATAAACGACCGTGGTGGTAAGTGCGCGTTTGGTTGGTGAAAAAAAAATTTAGATGCAATGATGGATTTAAACTCAGAACGATTTTACTGTCATTATTCAAGTGAATTTTTACATAATAAATACCATAAATATTAAGCCAAGATTTAAAAATAAAGGATTTAATTGCGTGATTATTTTTGTATTATTCAGAGGCATAAATTTTTATTATAAATATAAGGACTATTATGAATAATCAGATTGAAAAGAAAAAATAATATTACATGATTATGTCTATAATGACAGTTATTGTCGAGAGAAAATAATCATATTGCATTTTAATGAATGAAAAAATGTAAAATTGCCACATTGTATAAATGACTGTGTTTCTTTATATCAATGTGATTCATAAAAATCGCTGAAACAACGTCCACAGATATTAGAATACCAACGAATCAAAGTGGCCTATTAAGCCAAGTTACGCATCAGGCTCTCTCGCAGAAAGCGAAAGATTATTGTGAGTAAACGCCATGTGAGAGTGTTAACATCTATTGCGACACACCATAGTGCTAGACCGACGAGTCGAATAAATTATAGCTTTATGAGAGCAACGGTCTCTCTTATTGTCTTTCTATTCACTAGAAAACTATCTTTTTTTAGACACTCTCATTTAAATATTCACATAAAAAATTGTTCTATCATTAATTTTCAAAACACCTTTATGATCTGTTACTGTTGGATTTAAAAATAAAATTATTTTGATTTGAAAATAATTGACTTGATTCTTCGATTAAGCGAATTAAAATTCGATTAGAATAATTTATTCAATTTTAAATCTTGTAACTTAGAAGTTATATATCATGGGATGAAAAATATTTGGATTATTTTTTGTATCAGATTCATGGGCTCAGAATAATATTTTATAACATTCTAGGATAAATATAAAAATTATTAAACAATTTTTGATAAATAGAATACATCTCTCATGATGACTTAATCAAGACATGTCTCTTGATGCACTACTCAGAAAATCAAGTCAGAATTTAAGTTATAAAAAATATTAATAAAAATATTTTCAATTATTTTAAGTAAAATCTGATTTACTGAAAGAATATTTAATACACATGAATTTATATGTGTAATTTTTTTTCTATCACACCGAGAAAATAAGATTTGTAAATTTTACTCTAATATATATTGTAGCTTATCGTTGGAATGAATAAAGGATAAAATAGTACAAAAAAAATAACTAGGATACAGTTTATTATTTTATCTATTAGATTTTTTCTCAATAAAAAAGAAAAAAAGATAAATGAATATTTATCGAGTTTTCCAGCGGATTTTTTTTTATTCTATTTTTATAATTATTGAAGATAACCACACCAATGTCAATTTTGTTATCATTTTTTGACTCGAAACGACAGATTACAATGTATTAGAAAAAAATTCACAATTATTTTCTCTTCATGGATTTATTCTTTTTATTCATTTATTTGCTTATCTTCAATAATTTTAGAATATACTAACCATTGATAATATTTTTACAATAATAATCTCATTGAAACAAAAAAAGATTGTTAATAAAATGATTCATGAAAATTTTCCATTTATTATTAGAAAAAAAAGATACATAAATAAAAAACTGAATAGAAAAAAAATCTTTTAGAAAACTCAATGAATGTTCATTCATCTTTTTTTCTTTTTCATTGAGAAGAAATCTAATTAATAAAATAATAAACGGTATTATAATAATCTTCTTTTACTATTTT